CTTCAATCTTCATTGCCCCAAAACAAGGACCTGAGAGCTAGAGGGAGCTGCTTATGTCTTTGGGACTCAATGTGGGGCACTCATCTCTACGGAGAGGTAAGTGTGGTGGAAGAGCTGAGCATACACACACACAATCCTTGCCTGTCCCTCAGAGAACTCTAAGACAGTGGTTACTCTGCCAGCTGGTTTGACACTCTTACAGCAGCTGCCACTCTTAAAGCAGAGGACAGGTTCCCCTGCATCTCCTGGTTAGTCCCCCACTGAAGCTGGTGGGAATGCTGGCCAGAGAAGCACCTGGGTTCCTCTCGGAGATTGCTCCGGTTGCATGGAACCAGTGAAAGCTGACAGGGCAACTTAAGGGGCATGGGGGGCAGCTCCCCTTTGGGCACCCAAAGGCTCCCCAGTGGAAGCTGGGTCCCGACAGCCTGACTGGGTAACCAGCAGAGAAATCTCCACTTATCTGTCATCCGCACCTGCACTCCGCTGTGAGCTGAGAGGTAAAACTCTGTGATCTCCCAGTATCCTGTCCCAGAGTGACCTGGGACACTGTCAGAGCCCTCTCTTAGGCCTCCAGTAAAAACAGAGCTATGGGTCTGGACCTTTCTCTCACTGCTAGCATGGTAGACCCCCCTTCAGATACATGTTGGTAAATTCATGGGCTGGGAACAGGTGAACAAAGTTTCCCTGGATCCCTGGAGAAAGGCTTACTGGGCAAAAGTCAAAGTTAAGAGAGAGCCCCTCAGCCCCTTTATTCAGCTATTGGAGTCAGCTGTGGAACTCCTTGGCTCACTGAGGCTCCCCCAGATTCTCTAAACAAAGGCCTGAGGGCAGCACCGCCTCTCTCCCCAGGAGCTAAGACAGCTTGCAAAACTGTTTGCCTTTAACACAGGAAAAGTTATCCGAGGAGGGGTTTACACTCATGCCTTGCATATGCTGAGGGTTAATAAAGAAGCCTTTAGATAAGTCTGAGCAAAGGGCTCACAGGACCAAGAAGAAGGGAGCGCAGATGCTGCTGGCCACTTCCCAGAGACCCTCCAGTCCACTGTCGCTGGCACCGGTCAAGAGATGCCAGAAGGTCAACAGTGAACCTAACCATTCAATCTGATTCAGTTCTCATCCAATTCAGTTTGTGACCAGAATCGTGGGAAGAATTAAGTCCTTGAATCAAGGTTCCACTGTATTATAGCTACAGCTCCACTGGGCCAGCACTCTTAAGAGTGCACTCTAACCCAAACATAATTGTTTGTCTGTGCTTTTGTTCCTCCATTTAAACTGATTAAGATACCTAAACCTGCTTTGTTAAAGCTTTTTGAGCTCATACCAATCTCTGTTGCCCCAAAACAAAAACCCAAGAACGAGAAGGAACTGGTTACACTAGGACAGAGTAGGCTCACTTGAAGGCTAGCAAGGAGGAGTATTTGATAATAATGTGGCTACCACAGGACTGCCCAGCATGGTAGGGATACTGTAGCACTTGGGTTTTTAAAGACACTTTCATTAACCTGCTTCTTGCTAACAAAAAAGAGGAGATCGCTTTTACACAAAGTCACCTTTCTGTTTGTGAAAGGTTAAATACCTGCCTACTGTTGGAGGGACTGGGAGTTTCTTGGTAAACTGTTCAGTAAGATGTTATCTTTGAAAAGATAGTGCTCATCTTCATTCTGTAAAAGTGAAGTCAACATGGAAGGGAAGTAGAAAGACACTGAGGGAAAAAAGTAATCTTTTGCAATTTTTATTCGAAATTATCTAATCAAAGAGGAAATTGTCAAGGTTTTCTTTTTCTTATGGTCCTGCCCTTTTGATCTAACAGAACTTCTATTCTTGGTGTGTGCTTTATGCTTTACAAAGCTGCAGTTGCTCTCATTTTGAGAAGAAAGACACTGATGGTAGATACCTTACCAACTGTAATTTAATAGATGGAATCGATGAAAAGAGTCTATCTGTTGATCTGTCATTTACAGGATAATCTTCATTTCAATTACAAAATCAGTTATTCCCTCAAGTATTTTGGTGTAATCCCATCAAGTCATTTTGGTGTAAACTAAAGGCATCAGAACTGGCCCAACTGTAGTTATTTTACTTCATTTAGAACTTGACTTAGCAAAATTATATTCTGAAACTATCTGTGATCTGTACAGAATAACCTATTAATGATCTAGACTTTATATGAATTTTAAAGATCTTAGTCCAAAAACTAAATACCAGATATGAAATGAGAAACTGTTGATAAATAAACTAGAAGTCTTGTACTTTTATCAAATTTTTCAAATAGACAAAAAAAAAATTACAATGATCAACAGCAAAGGAGAAGATAATAAGATCACACGCACGGGACGAATGTTTAATTTTATAGTTTTTTTAAATTCAAAAAAATTTTGTTCTGATTAAATACAGTACTGCTAGCCCCATCTCCTGTCTTCTCTTGGCATTAACTTTTGAAGTTAAATCCCTTAGGTAAATTTTCATATGGGCACATCCTCAACTTTAAAGATAAAGTGGAGTTCTAATGGTAAAATTATAGCTACCTTTTATCAAGCCCTTGCCCGATGCCAGGTACTGCCCAACATCACGTATGTTATGCCCCTGGATCTTTGTACCAGCCTTGTCACGTGACAGCTGAGAAGCCAGAACCAACAGGGAGTCGGTTAGGAAGGCGCTGAAGGCAGAGCTGTGAAGGGGCCGACTGGGGACTGGAGAGGACAGGTACAGCCCCTGCAGGCCACAGAAGCTATCTAGCCCCTTCACCTCTGTCCTCAGATACTACCCAGGGAGTGGGCTGGTTTGGCAGATGTGGGGCTGGTTTGTCCATGCAACTGTTCTTCCTGGTTTAAAATAATTTTGTGGAGAAATATTTGTTTTCCATTTTGAAAAGGAATCCCTTTGTAATTAGGTATTTTAGAAACAGGTTTTCTCTCTTCTACCAAGTGTTCAGCACTTGTTACTTGCGTCTCACATCTGAACAGGTTATAGGTAGGATTGGGATTCAAATCTCTCAATGAAAATGGAAATCGTTTTAGTCCCTACCTTGGGGAAGTTGTAAAAAGTAAGAGAGCTATCATGTGCACAAAACATAGCAACAGGAACAAAGTCAACACATGGAGTGTAACCATTTAAGAACTTTATATAGAACAACTTCTTAATGCTCCAAGTAACCCTGTAAAGAAAGTACTCTTATCAGTCCTATTTTACACACAAGAAAAACAGCACGGGCAAAAAAAAAGTTAACAAACTTGTCCAAGACACTTTACATCGCTAGGATTCCAGCCCGAGTCCGCGCTTCTAACTAAACAGGACATTGGGCAGCCCCTGTGGAGCCTGCAGTCGGGGTTTAATAAATGTCAGTTCCCTAGAGGACTCACCGAGGGTGGCTGAGCAGAGCGTTACTGCCATGATTACTGAAACGTCTGCCCGGGTTCGGGAGGCCTTGTGTGCAGCTGCAGGACCAGGTCAGTGCCCCAGCTCTGCCAGTGTCCATGGGGAAGCTGCACAGCTGCGGTGAGGGACTCTGCTCATGACCACTCTCCACTCCTCACTCGCTTGGCGAGTTACACACCTTCTCTGCGTAACCCTGATCCAACCATTTAGCTTGTCCCAGCCTCAGTTTCTACTCTGCAAGTAAGGGGAATGAGACAGGACAGGTGGGAAAATTCTAAGCGCACAAGGACAGAACACGTGTCCCTGCTAGGATGTCAGGGGCACAGTGCCGGCGGATTATTCACATAATTCATACTTCACACCAAGGACGAAGACATTCTTACTCCTACTTCTTGACATTCCCCAAGTACAAGAAAACTGTATGCAAAGAAAGTCCCAAAAAAGGCATCTAAGAATACTGAAGACAAATGGTGGGGTGTCCCATGATTTTTTCAGGGATTAATAGTGATTGTTATCCTTACTTACTGGTGTTGGTTTATTTCCATGAGAGCTGGGTGTGGTGGTGCACACCTGTGATCCCAGCACTTGAGAGGCTGAGGCAGGAGGATTGCCATGAGTTCAAGGCCAGCCTGGGCTACATACTGAGTTCAAGGGAGCCTTAACTACAAAGGGAGACCCTTCTCAAAAAAAAAAAAAAAGAAACACATGAGAAGTCTTAAGAGTCATTTGTAAAAGAAAAAGGCAAACAATGTGAGTGACACACATGAATCATCTACTTTTCCTAGTACTGATAAAGAACTTTAATCTGAGACTGCCCTGTTTGCGGTCCAATTGCATTGTTAGCCCCTGTACAATTTTCTATTTGTTACTCTGACAAATCACCACAAATTCTGTGGCTTAAGAACAACATGACATTGTGTCTGGCGATTGAGCAAGTCCCTGGGCCAGCACTGAAGAGTCGGCAGAGATAATGCTTTCCGGAGGCTCTCGGGAATTATGTTTCCTTGTTACTCCAGCTTCTGGAGGGCGCCCTTGGTCCTGGGCTCGAGACCCCTTCCTCCATCTCCAGGTCAGCAGGCAGCCTCTGTCCGACCTGCTGGTGTCATACCTTCCCTCTTCCACTTTTCAGGGCCCCGTGATTGCACTGGGCCCAGCCAGGAACCCAATGTCAAGGTCAGGTTATTAGCAGCCTTCACTCCACCTGCAACCTTAATTTCCCCTGCCAAGGAGCCTAACGTACTCACAGGTTCTTGAATTTGGACTGGCACGTCTTTGCGGGGAAGCATTACTTTGCCTACCACAATCCTTTCCCTCCTTGTTGTCCCTCAGAAACAGTGAACTCAGTGAACACACACACACACACACACACACACCCTACAAAACTCAACAAGAAGAATGGAAGAAATGCACTTCCATCTTCGCCCCCTGGTTGCCTCCAAACCACAGGCCACACAGGATTCCACAGCCAAAAGAAAATCACGTTCATGCCAGCTGTCACTGCCCACGACCTGCTTATTTACCTTCTTTCCTTTGCATGGATAATTGACATCTGACGAGGTGTTTTCAAATTTCTTTTTAGGTAAATGTGTCGCTTCTGTTATGTTCTTAATACTTAGGTTGTAACGATGTCATCCTACCCAACGACCTACCCATGCCACGAAATGCCCAATCCTTACCCACCAAGCAGTTCCCTGGCTTCTGAGCCTCAGCAACCTGTGGGATTCATACACACAGGACAGGGTGCTCAACTCTCCTTCGTAGCCTCTCCAGCAGTCTTTCCTAGCAGTCAGCTGGGCCAAGGAAATGTGCAACTTACAAATCCAAGAGCAAGCACAGCAGCAACAAACCCCAAAGGAGCCATCAAGATACTCGGGGTAAGTCTATTTGCTGCCAGAATTCAGACTTTGCCTGGAGGGCGTCTCTAGTACCTGTAAGTTACAGGGGGAGAGAACATCCTTCAATTGTTGAAAAGCTCTGAACATCACTTTGGAAACTGTGTCCCCCTTAGGTAGAAATGATTAGTCTGCATAAGAACTTTACCCTGAGTTCATTTTATTTTAAATCCCAGCAAGAATCCGACAGGTGACAGAGACTCTATCAGGCAGGAGGGTTCAGTAGTACTGATGCAGTGAGAGCTTCACTACTTCTCACCTGAAGTCACTCTTGCAAGGCACTTTATTAGTGCATGTCACTGTGGTGATGATGATGGGTTCGTGGTGTGAAGCTGGTACATGCATTTAACAGATCTTAGCAGCTTCAATCCCAACCCTACCTTCCTTCACACAGCCTGTCTGAGCCCTTTCCCCTCTCCAGAGGTCCATCTCCAGGTTTCCTGTCCTCTCCCTTTTAAGGAGGGATGGATGGATGGGTGGGTGGGTGAGTGGATGGGTGGGTGGGTGGATGGATGGCTGGGTGGATAGGTGGATGGGTGGGTGGATGGATGGGTGGGTGGATGGATGAATAGATGGAGTTTTTAATATGAGAAAATACAAAATATGTAACTTTCTGTGTCTGGCTAATTTCACTTAACATGATGGTTTCTAGTTTCACTGATTTTCCTGTAAAAGACAAAATTTCATTCTTCTTTATGGCTGAGTAATAATCCATTGTGTATATATTTGCCACTTTTTCTTTCCTATGCATCTGTTGATGGGCATCTGGGCAGTTTGTCCAGCTTGGCTCTGTGACTGTGCTGCCTAGGACATGGGTGTGCATGGGCCACTGCAGCAGGCCGACTGTAACTCTGGGGTGCACGCCCAGGAGTGGTGCAGCTGGGTCAAACCGTACTTCCATTTGGTGTTTTGAGGGCTCTCCAAACTCGCTTCCACAGTGGCTGTGCTAGTCTTCACTCCCACCAACAATGTAAGGGGCTCCTTTATTCCTGCCTTCTCGCCAGCATTCACTGTTTTCTGTACTCTTGATGGCAGCCATCCTGACTGTGGTGAAATGGGATCTCAGTGTAGTTTCCATTTGCATTTCTCTGATGGCTAGAGGTGCTGAACATTTTTTCAAATACTTCTGGCCATTTGAACAACTCCTTTTGAGGGGTATTTTGTTCATTTGCCCACTTTTTTACTGGACTCAGTGTTTTATGGAGTTAACTTGTTAAGCCCTCCATATATTCTAGATGCTAATCATCTACCAGAAGAGCTCAGCGAGTTACCCCTTGGCTTTTTAATCGTTCCCTTTCTGCAAAGAACTTTAGAGGCCACCTCAGTCCTGTCTCTGGCCTGGTGTCTCCACACTGATGTTTGTACACAGCTGCATTCACATTCAGAGGATGTCAGTGGTGGCCTGGGACAGCCAGAATTATGGTTGGCAGTACGAGGAGGGCCGTGTATGAAAAGCAGGGTCACAGCCTCTGTTGTGGGTCCTCACTGTCACCTGAGGAGGCCCTAACCCAACCTCTGCCTCCCTTCTACAAAGGGCACTTTGAACTGAACATCACCGTCTTGCTTCCATGAGTGCTACAACTGGAATCTACAACCAGAATCTACTCATGGGTGAAGATTTTACCTGCCTAGGTGGCATTGTTCATTCACCCCTTGTTAAGCTTTCCAAGTACCTCTTTCACACCATTAACAAACTCCACCAAAGTATACCTGGTCTTTCCCTTCTCCACTAGATCAGTCAGTGTGCTGCACTGAGTGTTCATTACACGCCGAACTCTTCTACCCATCTTACCAAATACTCTACACCTTAACAGTTTAAGGAAGTAACAGTTGGTCCAGCAGTGGGTCCAGCAGCCACTGTAAGCAGGCAAGGCAGTGCTTCGGATCCTCCTGCTGCCAGGCACACCTCACACAGCCAAACCCACACAGCACCCGGACTGTCACAGAGCACAGAGCAGCATGACCTCTGCCTTCTCGGAGCTTACGACCCAGAGCGGGAAATCAGCTACACACACAATAAGGAAGTGCAGGCAACAGGGTGCTGGGAGGTGACAAACAGTATCCAGTATGCAGGATAAAGGAGTGTAAAAGGGATCAAAAGCCCCAGGCGGTGAGCGGACTGCAGTTTCGAGGTGGTCAAGGTGACCTTTCCTTAGAACAAAACATCTGGGCAGAGACGTGACATTAGGAGTGAGCCACACAGATGGCAGGATGAGAGGGAGCTGCAGGCCAAGGGCCGTGGATGAAAACGCCTGCTGTGCCTTTGAGGAACAGGGTGGAGACCAATAAAGCAAAACAGAAAGCAAGAGGGAGGGAAAGGCAGGAAGGGGACAGAGGGTGGCAGGGCTCCGGCAGTGAGGCCTGGGGAACAGGAGACTCGTTCTGAGAGGGGTGGGGAGACACCCACACTGGAACACGCTGCCTGGTGCCAGAGAGGCCTGCGGCAAAATGCTTCTGAAGAGCAATGACGTTTTACAAAGTGAAGGGGGCAGAAGCTGATTCCTCCCCAAGAAGGTGGCACAGCTATGCCGTAAGAGCCTCAGTGACAAAGGTGTAGCAGCCAGGGGTGGGACGCAGAGCCCTGTACCAAGCCAGAGCACCAGACAGCTCCAGGGTGGGAACACAGAACACTCAGGCCAGGCAACTGGTTAAACCAGCAGCAATTTCAACCAGCAAATGGACAGCCAGGCTTTGCCAAGAGGGTCAGCAGCAAGCCGAGATCTGACTGCTTGGCATGGAGATGACAGGTTGCTTGTGCCAGATAACTGCTCTGCCGCTCTTAGAGAAGAGCCTGTGAAAACAGAGATGACGTCCTACACCGGAGTTCTGCAACTGTATGACTAAGAGGTTATCAGTTCACTGAAGCTGCGTGCATACTTGTAGTGTGGGTACAAGGGTGTGCTAGAATGACTTTTCAGGGGAAGCCTCATAGCTTTGTGACAGTCTCGTGAAACTTCGTTATCCAAAAACTGTTACTCTCATAGCATTACTTACGAGGCTGTGCTTGTCTAATTTTGTTCAATTTAATTGCATAAAATAAGTATTTATTGATTAAATTAGACCCTGCCCAAAATTAAAAGTCCAAGTAAAAACTGAACAGCTGAGATGAATAGGCACTTCCCAGAAGAAGTTCAAATGGCTAAGAAGTACATGAAAAATGTCCAGCACATTTGGCCACTAGAGAAACCCAAATCAAAACAATACAAAGATTCCACTGTCTTCCAGTAAGAGTGGCTATCTTCAAGACCACCAAAAACAATAAATGCTGGCGATACTGGGGGGAAAATGAACCCTTCTACAGCTTTGTGGGAAAGTTAACTAGTACAGCCACTATGAAAATCAGTATGGAGATTCCTCAAAAAATAGAAATTCCATTTGACCCCACTATCCCTCTTATGGATATCTTCCCAAAAGAGGTAAGAGTTTCCAAAATGGTAACCTGCAGAAATATGCACACCCGTATTTATAGCAGTGTAACTCATCATAGCTGCATCATAGTAGCAGCCTATATGCCCATCAATAGATGAAGGAGAAAGAAAATGTGGTATGTGGGCACATGGAGTACTACTTCGCAATAAAGAAGGATACATTTCAGATGTGTAGGAAATTGGATGCACCTTGAGACCATAATGCTAAGTGAAATAAACCAGACATGGGTCGAATATTGTATGGTTTCTCTTCTATGAGAAATTCAGAGCATAAGTAATTTGGAGTCTTTCAGAGGAACCCAGGAGATGCTTCCAGACCTAAGCCACTGTGCTTTCTGCAGACTTCTCCATGGGCCAGCTACCACCCCCTTGTCCCTCACTCAAGCCTTGGTGCTGGGGCCTTGGCTCTGCTGCTGCGGTGTATATCAAAACCTTCTCAGGCTGCCTCCTGCTCCAGAGGCCGATGTGAGGTCCAGGGCCCTGGCAAAACAGGCTGTACACAGAGGGAGCAAGGGTTCACGGTGGAAACAGAGAAGTGACTTTTAAATGCCTGTGTTCTTCTTCCAGGGGATCCAGATTGTGATCGGAATCATGCTCCCCGGATTTGGCATTATCCTGGCTCTACTGAGTTACACGCTGGACCACGCCTGGGGCTTCTACTCCATCTCCTTTGTCGCTGGCTACCCCTTCTGGGGTGGGCTCTGTGTGAGTAAAGGGTGAGGCCGCCTCTCCCTGCAAAGTCCAGGTGGCACCAGCCAACTCCCAACTCTGCTCCTGGGAGCCCTGCGCCTGAGCGCGGCCAAACTCACAGAAATCACAGCGCTGACCCAGCCGCTAAACTTGCAGCTTAGAGCCAAATTTACTCTCACCAAAGGATCAAGCCAAAATTTGAGTTCATGTGACATTTAGATGGAAATGTATGTATTAAGTGGGGATTGGCAGAAGGAGGTGATTGTAAAAGTGATTAAAAATATCCAGATGGGGCTGAAAGTGCATCTGAGTGCTAGAGCACTGGCCTATCATGATCGAGACCCTCAGCACTGGGGGAAAATGTGAAAAAATATACAACTGATAAAGAGACAAGATTGAACAGTAAGCTCAAAAGTCATGAGCAACAGCAGAAGGTTATAGAACAATGAGTTCTTCATAGACTAGAACCCAAGGAGGAAAAAAGGAAACTTAGAGATGTAATACCCCTGAGAGCGGCTCTAGAAAATCGAGACATACCAGAGGAGATTTAGAGACAGAAAGCAGATGCGTACAGATTAACCTTCCACATAAGCAGATGTTTCCCAGGCACAATCGCAGAACCCACCATTTCACAAGTAATTTTGTCTGTTTGTGCAGTTCATTATTTCTGGCGCTCTCTCCATATCAGCGTTCGAGGAATTTTCCCCATGTCTGGTAAGAATGTTTCCACTCTTGAAACCCCTTGAAATGTGAGTTTAGTTTACAGGGGGGGATGGCTGAGAAGGTAGATTTAGAAAATGTAGGTGGGTGGGCTCTCCCCAAGCACCTGCCTGCTGCCTTGGCCTGCACTGGGCGGCGTGGCCCTCGCATTTGCCCCTCAGCAGTGCCAGCTCTGCGCCTGGGCCTGCATTCACAGGGTGGGCAGCTGCACAGGTCAGGGCTGCTCAGGCTTTAACCTAACAGCTCCTGGCTCCAGAGAATCCAGGAGCAGGGAAGCAGCTGCTGGCCACAGCAGCGACGGTCCCAGCCTGTGTTTGCCACTCTTCATTTGGGAGCATCGCCTGCTCTTACTCAGACTGGGCTTTGCTATGCAGTTCCCTAAATCCACCCAGAGAGAATCCAGCTGAGAACAGAAGAAGAGCTTGTGAGATCGCTCAGAGATGGGGCTTCAATTTGAAGCCCAACACCCACCTGGCGCAATCTCCTGGTTCAATTACACACCAGGAAAAAGAGAATGATTTTCCAAAAATGAGAGCAGAGACTGTTTTAAGGCTATGCATAATAATGCATTAGAGGAGAGAACAGGAAGAGGGAACAGAGGCCTGCGTTGCTCACACTCTTCCAGGCAAAACTACAGTAAAATAACAAAATGAAGCACGCTAATACGAATCAGCCTACCCTGATTGATCACTCCTGTTATAACCCAACAACAAAACACAGCATCCTTTGTCTGTGCCCCTCGGAGATCCTCTCCACTGAGATTTTCCAAGAACAGACTCTGCCCTTTGGGGGGAGGTCACCCAGGTCACCAACCCGGTGATCCCGGTCTCTTTTGGAGGCCTTCAGGAGACTCCGAGGTGTGCCCAGGCAGGAGACCAGTCCAAGAATGTCGCTGTGCCACCCTAGCAAGCCAGCTGTGGACGGCTTCACAAGTATTCTGCTGTGTATCAGTCTTACTGTAAAATCTGTAGGAGTTTTGTCCTCTTCCCATACACCTCTCCCTACAAAAGTCTAAAGGATTTCTCCTAAACTTCGACTTCTTCACCTAGTCCTCAGGGCTTTCATTAGATCTCAAATCTGTCGAAAAATAAATCTGTGTGTGTATCCATTCCTATGTATAAAATCGGATGCTGCGGTACTACCTCAAACACTGGCTGTAAGAGGCATAGAACAACTTATTTAAATTTTTGACATAGTAACTGACACACAGTAACGCCCATCAAAAGTTTATTCATCCAGGAGGCTGAAGTAGGAGGATTGCAAATTTGGGGTCACCCCAGGCAACTCAGGGAGACTCTATCTCAAAATAAAAAACACAAAGGGCTGGAGACATCCCTCGGGGAGAGAGCACTTGCCCAGCATGTGTGAGGGGCTGCATTCGGTCCCAAGTGCCAAAATAAAAGAAAGAAAACCTTACTTGTTCTTTTGCTGTTTTAAAAAAGGAAAAACAGTTTTTATGTATGAAGCTTTCATATTAATATAACAGATGAACACCTGCCTTGCATTATTTCCATTTTTCTACAGCTTTTTGAAAATATCTGACATCTAATTTGCAGAGTAATTTCCACGGTAACTACCCAGAGGGGCAGAAAGAAAAGTCATTTCAACTTCAAAATTGTTTCAAGATAGCGAAGATTAGGAACCATTAACTCTCATTGATTCTTATTTCATTTCATTCCATTTACCTTCTGTCCTGTTTATTTCTCCCTTGTCTCCACTAGCTCAAGGGCAGCCTGGGAATGAACATCGTTAGCTGCATCTTTTCCATCACTGGCGCGACTCTGCTGCTGGTGGATGTGGGCATCAAGGCTCACGATTGGCAGGTCTACTGGGCCCTGGTGAGTGCCCCACAACCTACTGCGTGCCTGCCCTCTCCTCAGCCTGCAGAGTGAGTCTCCTGTGCTGTACAGCAGCAGCTCCAGTGGAAAATCTTTTTCTATTCCATCCCTATTCCCAGCAATGTGTTGCAGGGAGAGTCCCCCTGCAGGTGAGGGCAGACTGACCATCCGTAACTTACTGGCTGGCCCACTGTTAGTCACATGAACAACGGGGAAAGGCTGTGATTGGCTGCCAAGACTCGTGAAGAACACCCCCAAATTATCTCTACAACAATTTGAAATTCTAGGTAGTAAGATACTGAAGGTACTGGGTGGCTTTTTAGATTTAGAGTAAGAACTGGGTAAAGGAAAAATGGCAGCGACCAGGACATTCAGCTTCACAGAGACACACAGTGAAGGAAAGCACCATGAACCGTGTGGCTCCGGGTTGCTCCCATCACCCTTTCAGCATCACTGTTTTGGCCAAGCAAGGTCTCCGGCCCTGGAGGAAAGCCGAGGCCTGAGGCCAGGATGCCACCACGTGCAAGGAAGGGGACAGATCCCAACATAACAGGAAACCTCTGGGTAAACAAGGCGGGGTTTTGCAAGAACATAAAATTCACTTTCTGTGGCGTCAAATGGAAAGAACGAAATGTGCTCAGAAGTGAGCTTCTAATGCACGCCCCCCCCCCCGGAGAAGCAATCGTGGTGTGACCCAAGGGGGTGGCCGAAAGCACAGCTCCTGGCCCCAGCTCTGGCCTCCCAAAAGCAGACTGAGGAAAGAAGGAAGCTTCACTAATGCTCCCCGATCTGGAGCTCAGAAGACTGAGGAGGAGAACGTAAGTGCTATACAGCTGAAGCCCTCACACAGCAGGCTGGTGCCTGACAGAAGGAGCAGGTCACAAGAGCTAACAGCATCTAGGGCAGCTTGCTGATGTGGAGGAGCAGAAACCAACCACTCTGGCTTCTACCAGGTACTCAGTGGCTGCTCAGAAGAAAGGCAGGTGTGTAGGTGGACAGGTACAAAGGTAGGTAAGTAGAGGGACAGATTGGTAAATAGGTAGGTAGGCAGGAAGAACAATGGATTTAAATCCCACCCTGTTAAGTATAAAGAATAAACAATTCTTTAAAGTTCTACATAGAAAAGTCAGATTACCTATAAGCTGGGAAAAAATCAGTTTGGCTCAGTCTTCAACACAGCAACATTCAATAAGGGAAGACAACAACAATATTTTTTAAAGTTGATGAAAAGAAATCTTGACTCAAGCATACAATATCCAATCAAATGTGTGTGGAAGTAAAAAGGTAACAAGAAGATACTCTGAAAAACAAGACAACCTATGGGCACTGGTGTTTCTAAGAATTAATGTACTGGTCAGCTGTAAATCAGTTAACAGCATTTGAAATGACTGCTTGGTTCCTATATTGTTTGCTTTTTATTTAATGAGTAATACTTTTTATAAAGACAAGAAGACTGTTGCAAAGACAAATCTGCCTCTTTTCTGGTATTTCTAATAGAACAGCCTACTTGGCAGAAAAGAAATTCTTGTATTTTAAAGAAAATTCAAAATAAATTTGTATCCTTATGAAATAAGCATTTGAGATCATGGAGAAATAATCACTTAAAGTGAGGTAAGTATGAGCAACAGCACAGATGAGTGAACAACTTTCTGAAGCCTGTGTGAGGGTCTCCCAATTAGCCAAAACTTCAGGATAGTATTTACTTCTAATTTCAGGTTTCTGGAAAAGGAATTTCAGCCATGCTGGCTCTCTTCTCTCTCTTGGAGTTCTGCATAGCATGTGCCACTGCCCATTTTGCCACCAAAGCCATCAGTAGCCCCAAAACAGTAAGTCAAGCTCTTTGTAAAATAACTGAATGTGTGCTGGAGAAATACAGATGCGTGAGCCTGCGACACCGCACTGTGAGCCCGCTCCAGTGCTCCGAGTGCTTGGCTCTGCTGGGATGGGGACACTGAGTGGGGCTGTCCTAACAACACTGCCTATTTTTGTTCATTCTCTCCAGTCTGTTCTGGTTGTTCCAAACGTGTATGTAACCAACCCTATGATGCAAGAGTCCACCCCAGCTCCTCCTAGAAGTGACAGCCAACCACCTTATGCCTCTGGATATTAAAGGGAAAAGGGGGCTTCAGTCACATAGCACGCAGTAGAACTACTTCTCAGAAACTTCTCAACTTCTCCTATTGTCCTCGGTGACTGTAAACCCTTAGATGTGTCTGAAATTGTTCTCAGGCTCAGCACTAATGACGACAATATCTTCCAATCACTGTCCCTCCACACTCACCATGACTGCTCACTGGAAAACAACCCTGCAACTCTTGCAAAGTTAGAAATTGTCCTCTCCATGCTAACTTTTCCTCAATAAAATGTCATAAAGAACATAAACCTTGTAGGGATTTATTTTAAATTCATTTTGGTCTGACATTGACTTTTCTACACTTCTCTTTATAGACGTTTTCTTAATTACCATCTACCACAAATAGAAAATTGGTACCATGTGTTTAAACCTAAAGGTAAACCTATGTCAGCAGATAGGTCAAAAAGTCATTCTGGGCCAGAGATTTAGCTCAGTGGTTTCGCCACCCGCTGTGCAAGTGCAAGGACCCAAGTTCGATCCCCGGTACCAAAAAAAAAATTTTTTAAATAAAATAGAGTTTTAGAAAACAGCTAGGTGGCCGGAGATTTAGCTCAGTGGTTTCGCCACCCGCTGTGCAAGTGCAAGGACCCAAGTTCGATCCCCGGTACCAAAAAAAAAAAAAAAAGTCATTCTGAAATGGATCAATTCCTAGACACATATAAATTTTCAAAACTGAACCAAGATGATATAAAAGCCTGGAATAATCCAGTAACAGAAAAGAAAACAGAGACAGTTATGAAAACTCTGCTGACTAAGAAAAGTGCAGGACCCAATGGACTCACCACCAAATTTTACTGGAACTTCACAGAAGAAATAATGCCAATATTCCCCAAGCTCTTCCATGAAACTGAAGGAAAGAACCACTCCCAAACTTATTCCTGGAAGCTATCATTACCCTGACCCCAAAACTGGACAAGGGCTCAACAAAAAAAAGAGAAAAAAACCAGACCAATTTCCCTAATAAATATACATGCAAAAATCCTCCACAAAGCACTTGCAAACAGAACACAACAAATCTTTAAAAAGAAAAACTACACATCATGATCGAATTGGTTTCATCCCAGGGACACAAGGATGGTTGACCATACACAAATCAAATCAATAAACACAGTACATCATGCAAACAGAAGTATATCATTAGATTCAGAAAAGAGCCCTTGAAAAAAATCCAACATCCATTCATAATAAAAAAGAGCTCTAACAAAAATAGACATTGAAGGATCTTACTTTAAATTGATAAAAGCCATTTATGACAAGTCCATTGTTGACATCATAATAAGTGGGGAAAACTGAACACAGTCCCTCTCAAAGCAGGAATAAGACTAAGCTGTCCACTCTTAGCATTCCTGCTCAAATTAGTACTCAGAACTTTGACCAGAACAATCAAGCAAGAGAAAGAAAGAAAAAGGACTCAAGAAAGGAAAAAGTCAAGCTATCATTATTGGTAGATGGCATGATTGTTTACACAAAAGATAATAAAACTCCACCAGAAGATTCTTAGAACTAATTGACAAATTCAGTAAAGTGGCATGATACAAAATAAACACACAAAAATCAATAGCATTACTATACACCAACAATGAACCCACGGACATAGAAACTGGGAAAACATTCCCATTCACAAAAGCTTCAAAAAAAACATAAACACCTAGAAATCAACCTAACCAAGGAAGTGAAAGACCTCTGTGATGAAAACTAGTAAAAGGAAATTAAAGAGGATATTAGAAAACAGGATGCCATCCTCTATTCTTACAGAGGTAGAATAAATATTGTCAAATGCCCATATTACCAAAAATGATATAAAAGAATTAATGTATTTCTAATCAAAATACCCATAGCATTTTTCACAGAACGAGAAAAAACAATTCTCAAATGTATATAAAACCAGAAGACACCCACAATAGTCAAAGCAATCCTGAGCTACAAGAGCAAAGCAGGAGGTATTACAATCCAAACATCAAATTCTACTACAAAACAACATTACTAAAAACAGAATTGTACTGGCACAAAAACAGGGATATTGACCAATGGAATAGAATAGAGGATGCAGAAATAACCCAAGCATCTTCAGGCATCTGACTTCTTACAAAGGGGCCAATGCTGGAGAAAAGTCTGTTTAACATATAGTGCTGGGAAAACTGGCTATCCATATGCAGAAGAATGAACCCAGACCCATATTTTTCATTCTGTACCAAAAACAAATTAAAATGGATCAAAGACGTACATTTAAAAACAAACAGAATCTGCTAAAAAAAAATGGACAAAAACTCTTGAATACACAATAATAGGCAAGGACTTGCTGAACAAACCCCCAGTTCCATAAGACATAATACCAAAAATCAAAAAATGGGGTTATATAATATTTTCAAAACTTCTGCACAGCAAAAGAAACACCCAATGGACTGAAGAGACAACCTACAGAATGGAAAAATTTTTCCAGTTAGTCCTGGGAAAGAGGTCTGCAATCTAGAATACACAAAGAAAAAATGAGGACCCCCCCCCAATAAAATACCCAGTTTTTTAAATGGGCAAGTGAAATGAACACTTCTCAGAAGTTCAGATTGCCAATAAATATGTGAAAAAAGGCTAAGCATTTGTGGCCATTAGAGAAATCCAATTCAAAACAACACTGAGCCACAGCGACCAGCTTAGCCAGGTGGGCTGAGAGGTTCCTGGCCGCCTGGAGGCCCACTCCATCCTACCCATGCCACACCCACCAGCGACCAGCTTAGCCTCCAAGGTGCCTGCAAAGCCCCCTCCCCCCCACCTCTGGCCTCCTGGCTGTGCTACTACCTGGTTCCACAATACAAAAGCACAGGGGGGCATAGAGGCCATTGTCCTGAGCTCCAGAAGATAGAGCAGAAGTGAACAACAGATAGCCTCTCTGAGGCTCCTTGATGAAAACTGAAGCCCACTGGAAAAGTGAAGAGCATCTCTGCATAAAGGCACACCAGACCACCATAGGTTGGAGGGATCACCACCTCCCATTGGAACCTGGACTATCTTCAGGGGAAGGGCAGCTGGAACCTGTAGCAGAGCCTTGCAGAGTTCAAACCTACAGGAGGGCAGGGAGCTCAACTTGGGACTTGCAGCCAGAAATCTGCCTGAATCTCACGGGTCTGCGACTAGCTTGCTGAGACTCATTGACTTATATATGCACACTGCTGCCCACATTGAATTTTCAAAATTATTAAATTTTTTTGCTCTTATTTTTAATTTTTTTTCTACTCTTTTCAAATTTCTGTTTTTCTCTTTTTTTCTTTCTCTTTTC